GTTGATTTGACAGGTGCTAATTACCAGGATCACACCTCTTTCCTTTTCTGCTCAGTGTCACATTCGTTTTTTCAGAAATAATTGCTAGTGGCTTGGCAAGTTAATTAGCCATGTGATACATATCACCCAAATCCAGTTTCTTTCCAGCTTTCTTAAGCTCTTGACATTTTCCTCTTGAGAATTGGGCCCAAGAATTCCAGTGTTTGGGGTTGCAGGGAGACCTCCGTCTCAGGGAGAGAGTGCCCACCCCCATCCAGGCAAGGTTAGGGGAGTCCTTAGGTATGTACAGTTGAGTTTCATGCCTCCTTCCAGACCCATGGATTTAACCAACATAAAGAGGCGCCTGTCCAAGGGCCAGATCTGGACCACAGCCCAATTCCAGCGCGACCTCATGCTGATGTTCCAGAATGCAGTGATGTATAACAGCTCTGACCATCACGTGCACCGCATGGCTGTGGAGATGCAGCGAGATGTCCTGGAGCAGCTTCAGCTGTTGGGTGAGGCCCTCCTGTGCTCAGAGGAGAGGCTGGGCTTTGGGAGGAGGTAGGGAGATGGTCAGATGAGGGGCCTGTTTTGGGGGGTAGTACCCTCCCCCAGCTCTGTTCCAAACCCTGTTCCCCTGCCCTGCACTAGCAACCATTTCTCACAGCCCATGAGAGTGGCAGCTATTGCGCCTTGGTGCCAGGAAGCTGGATTAAAAAAACTAAATGCAATTTCTAGATTCCTGGGGCCTCCTCCACACACTAAACTGCCTTAATCATAATCATATGGCTACTGCACGATGTCACCGCAGGGCAGAGTTAAGGTTGTTTAATGGTGCATTTCCATCCCTTAACACATTTGGATTTTAGTGTAATCTAAACTTGAATTTCCTGGGTTTGTAATGTTTGGTTTGGGGATCGTTACAACAGCTCTGTAAATGTTTTTACCCTTCCATCGCTGATATGTATGCTTGCTTTTAACTGCATTTTTGGCTTGGACTCTAGGTCAGCTTGTAAACAGGGCAAAGCCACCCTTTTCTCTGCTTTTATTTCCATGTTCTCTGCTTTTAATAAATCTCGTGTGTGAAGTTGTGGTAATCTCACACAGTTGTCCCCAGAAAGAACTCCTCAACTGCTACAGGGGGAAGTTTCTGGAACCCGCCCCCCAGGCTCAGCCCCGAGGTCCTGTCCCAGCCAGCTACTGCCATGAAACATCCTGGGAAGGGGGATCGACTTTGCAGCGCCCCAGGGCTCGTTCCCTGCCTTATTCTGTCCTCCCTGCAGGGGCTGAGGAGCCAGAGAGACTGGGCTGCGGGGACAAGCTGGAGTCCAGACTGGATGCCTGAATTCTGGTGAAAAGCCTCGTCGGTGTCCAGAAGTTAGGGAATCTGGTCCCGGTCTAGAGTCCCTCTCGGCCTGGGGCCCTCATCCCACCGGGCCCGCCTGGAGCCGCTCCCTGCCCTCCGCCCCTACCGCCCGCCTGGGGCCACTTCCCTCTCGGCCTGGGGCCCCTCCCTGCCCCCGCCGGGGGCCCGGGCTGCAGCTGGGGGGTTGTAGGCGGAGCCCGGGCTGGGCGGGGCGAAGAGACCCGGGACACGCGCGCACACGCGGCCCCAGCAGGCGCGTGTCTCTGAGAATGGTGGGACGGTCACGCGCGTCCCTTCCCTTCCGGCAGGCGGGGCACGTGGGGCCCGCGCGGCAAGGCCGCCTCCGCGAGGGGCGGGGCAAACAAGGGGAGGGTTGTTATTGGCTGCGATGGAGTCTGTAACCAGGTCCTTCCCAGGGTGCTCTGCGCGCACGCGGAAGTGGGGCAGGGGTGCGGGCCACGTGTCTGTCGATCATGGCTCGGGAGAAGCAGCCGGAGCCGGAGCCCGAAGCGGCGCCGGAGCGATCGTACCAGGAGCTGCTGGGGAACCTGAACCCGATCGCGCGGCCGCTGGCCTCCCGCAAGCTCACCCGCAAGCTCTACAAGTGCGTCAAGAAAGGTGGGGCCGGGACTGGGGCCGGGGCCGGGCAGGCCACCGGGGCGGGGGTGGGACAAAGGCCAGTGAACGGGACCGGGGAGCGGGGGAAAGGGGCCGGGAGCCCCGCTGAGCCCGGGCTGAATTCTGAGGGCCTCGTATTTCTCTTCCAGCGGCGAAACACAAGCAGATCCGGCGGGGAGTGAAGGAAGTTCAGAAATTCATCAACAAGGGCGAGAAAGGGTAAGAACCCACCGGCCCTGGCGCCCCGGGAGCTGGGCCCTGAGCTGCTGCAGCGTCTGCCCAGACCGGCGCTGTCCGGGCACTCGGCTCTGACCGCACCGGCCTTTAGCACTTCGTCCTGTGCCCCATGGCCAGATACGAGACCGCAGCAGCGCCGGGCCCCCTTGTGACCAATCGCCTCCTCAGCGCTCCGTGACTTTCACGGGCCGGTTCCATCTCCCTCTACAGCCACTGACCGGTCTTCTCGCTCTGCTGTTTCAGGATCATAGTCCTTGCTGGAGACACGCTGCCCATTGAAGTTTATTGCCACATCCCCGTCATGTGTGAAGACCGGTCCCTCCCCTATGCTTACATCCCCTCCAAGTCGGTAAGGTCGGGGGGGCTCTCAGGGGTTGGGGGAATCAACCCTTCTTGGGCACCAAGAGGGCATGAAACATTCTAGCAGGATAACAAGCGATGGCTTAGGTGGTGCCTCCTTTGCCCCCCCTTCTCTTTTTGGTGCTAAGAAGCTCTTGCCCAGGGCATAAAACCCAGGTCTTTGCTGCTGCTCCCCCACAACTCTGTAAAATCACCCATTTGAGCTAAGGGATCCCTAGCAGTGACACTCTACGGCAGAGGTGGGCAAACTTTTTGGCCTGAGGGCCACATTGGGGTTGCAAAACTGTATGGAGGGCTGTGTAGGGAAGGCTGTGCCTCTCCAAACAGCCTGGCCCCCGCCTCGTATCCGCCACTTCCCACCCCCAGACTACCCTCCTCAGAACTCCCGACCCATCCAACCCCTGCTCCTTGTCTCCTGACTGAGCCCCCCCATTCAACCCCCCTTTCCCCTGACTGCCCCAACCCTTACCCACACCCTGACAGCCCCCCGGGACTCCCACGCCTATCCAACGGCCCTCTGATCCCCGTCCCCTGACAGCCCCTCCCCCCAGAACCTCTGCCCCCATCCAACCTCTCCCTGTCCCCTGACTGCCCCTCCCCCCAGAACCTCTGCCCCTATCCAACCTCTCCCTGTCCCCTGACTGCCCCCCAGGACCCCCTGCCCCCATCCAACCTCCCTGCCCCCTTACCATGCGGCTCAGAGCAGCAGAAGCTCACAGCCCAGTCAGAGCCAGCCACGCTGCCCGCACGGGACAGCAGGGGAGGGGCCGGGGGCTAGCCTCCCTGGATGGGAGTTCAGGGGCTGTAGTTTGCCCATCTCTGCTCTACGGGCTGTTTGTCATCCTGCTTCAAGGGTGGGGTTGAAGAGGGGACACTGCCTACCACTGAAGCCGTTATTTTGCCAGAGGTAACACAGCCAGGCAAATGCTTTAAGCTGCCTGGGGTAATACTGTGAAGTGTGCTCTAGTCTATGGGCCAAAGGAGACTTTCACCTTTGTTCCTAAAGCATTATTTGCCCAGGTGCAGCCAGGAGATAGCGATGTTCTGTTCTCATCTGGCAGCTCCTTTAAATTGTCCAAATAACAAAACAAAAAACCCAAGGGGAGCCCTACACAATCGTCTCTAAGGGGGTGTCTCCAGCTGGCATCCTTAGGGCTTTAACCTGCCTTCGACCCGGCAAGACATTGGCCCTGCTGACTTCATGCCATCCTTGCAGAGTACAGCTGGGCCCCGTGAGGCCAGACATTCCTGGATCAGCAAGGACAGGCTGGGGGAGGAGTTGGGGAAGAGAAGTCCCTCTAACACAGCAGACCCCCAAATGGGGTCGTGCCCTGGCAATCCTTCCTATGCAACAGGTGCTGTCTTGCTCTGCACAGCGTGACCTCGCCTCTGTGGTGTGTGCACGGTCACGGTGCATTGATGATGCCATTTTGTTCTATGAAATGGCTTCCTCGACACAGCATGACCTCACACGCCGCACAGCTACGCGGTCACGTTGTGTGGAGGAGGACATTTTGCTCTTCAGAATGATGTACTCCGTACCCTCTGGGGTCCCAGGAGGAAATAATTCAAATGGGGTTGTCCCACAAAAAGTTTGGGAACCCTTGCTCTAACCTGGGGGGGTGGGAGGGGGAGAGACTGCTCAGCTGTGGGAAGGTTGCTTTACAACTTGGTTCAGTCACTTGGGGGTGGGGGTGATTGTAGGGTCAGGGGAGCCATATTCTCCCCTGTGGGGTGGAGTGCAGGGGTCTGCTCTCCTCCAGAGGAGTGGTAGGGGTCCCACTCCCCCCAGTGGATGGGGCTGTCTGCTGATGGAGGTCACCAGCAACTTTCCTGGACATGCCTGATATCCTCTTCCTCTTGTTCAGGATCTGGGAGCAGCTGGAGGCTCAAAGCGCCCAACCTGTGTGATAATGCTCAAGCCCCATGAGGAGTACCAGGAGGCATATGAGGAGTGTTGGGAGGAGGTTGTGTCCCTTCCTGTCCCCCTGTGAAGTGCCTGCTCTGGAGCTTCTGGCTGGCTGGGCCTGCGCTGCCCCAGCAACATTCACTGGCCTCCGAGGACTTTACAAAATGAAACGTGCGCTGGTCCTGCAGCGACTTGCTGGGTGCTCAGTGTGGGGGAGAGGGGGCTGCATGGACCTTGGGCTTTTTACATTTAACCAAAAAAAATTGTTCTGAAATAATTGAGTAGCAGCTGCTGAGGGTGGGGGCAGATGGTGATGAACCTCCCCCTTGAAGGGCCGGGGAGAGCAGGCTTCCTGGACGGGCTAGCAACCCTGTGGGGGACGAGCCCAAGCCATGAGCAGCGAGTCAGACCTGTTCTGTGGTGGATGAAATAAATGTATTTGTACAGCTGTTTGCTGGGGTTGTTAGTAAAGTCGCTGTTGGAGGCACCCTGGCTTTAAGGCTACATTCTGAGCTGGCGGCTGATGTGCCATCACCAGCAGGGCTGGGCCTGAAGGCTGGATAATGGAAAGTGGGGGAGGAACAAGGATGATTGTGTAGAAATGACATTGACGGCACAGAAACCGCTTTCTTTCTGGCCCACCAGCATTTGCCCTGGACTAAATAGAGGCCATTGCGCTGGGTGCAGAAGGGGCTAGAGAGGGTTGGTGTCCCTTTCAGTCAAGCCCAGCCATGGCTAGGTGGGAACCATTGTGTTTGGGGCTTGGACCCCATGTTAGGAGGCAAAGTGGAGCCTGGGCTAAATGAACAAAAGACTACAGTGAATTTGGCTAAATGAATGTAAGGCAGGACCCATGCCTACCTACTGCAACATGCACTCCCCAGCCATGGCGCATGGCTGACTGATGGCCTCTCTCTGCATCAAAAATATCAGCCTCCTGTGTGCTTCCTTGTGGGATCGCGGGGCGAGAGGAATTTGGACTCCTCTCTCCAGCCCTTGGGGGGCAGCTGCTTGTGACCAGTCCCCACAACCCTTGGTTATGCCCAGCCTGCTGAGGTGGGGGTGGAGAGGTATTGAGGACTAGTATGCATTTCTTCTCCCCCCTTCCCCCTGGTGGGGCAATGACTCCAGCATGTGGGATGTCTGACAGGCCGTGAGGCTGGGGTCTCAGAGCTGCAGTCAGCCACGCATGAGGTGATTGTGCAGCATTGTCGCATGCGTTGATTCTATCCTAGTTGGTGCAAAAAAACCCTCCACCCTTTCCTTCCACCACCCCGCTGTGCCCCACTGCTGTGCTGGCTGGGGCTGGGGGCAGCCTAGAATGACAACGAGTTATGACCCACCCCAGCCTCTCATTCAGCTGGGCCCAAAGGGCAACAGATTCCCTCCCTGAGGGCTGCTGAGCCCAGGGGTGAGGTACTGACCAGCTATCGGGCACCTCGTACCCTAGAGCAGCCGGGAGCTGCTCCGTGTGCCTGGAAGCGCTTCAGACAGCCACGGGGGCAAACAAACAAGGATGAGCAACCAATTGCTCTGCTCTTAGCAGCAGGTACTGGCAGCTATCCTGGATGTACAGGCTGGACCCCCACCACTACTGGACTCCAGCCATCACTGCCAGCGATGGGTGATGGGAGACAGGGCTGCAGAGCTACTGCAGAGTCCACACCAGGCTCACAGCCCAGTCGCTGCTGGCCAGGCCAGCCTTGCCCCCAGAACAGCCCCAGCACCCTGAGCTCTAGACTAAATCCGCCAGGTGTAGCCATCATGCCCCACTTCTGTACACTCTGCAGCCTTGGAGACTGCCTCTGGAGCAGAATCAGAGGAGCCCAAGCGAGGGCACACTCAGGCTGCAGCTACACAGGGCACTAGAACATTTCTGTATGGTTACATCTGACACTGCCTCCTGCGCCAGGAGGCCCTTCCCTGCTGCCCCAGGAGCTCCGAGAGCAAGGAGGAAAGGCTAACAGGCTTTATTTTCTGGAATTTATAAAATGGCTCCAGGCAGCTCCCGCTTTAATATTTACAATGCAAAAAATATCAGTAAATGCACAAGGGACTGTACAGCATGGGCACTGCCCTGGCAGAGGGCTAGGAACGCTCCAGTAGCCACGCTCGAGGCCAGGAGGGGCTCCCCCTATTACTGAGCAGACAGCTACCCAGCACTCCGGACAGAGTGGGAGCGCAGAGTGAGCAGGGCAGCATAAGCCAGATCACTAGGAGAGCACACACGGAGGCAGCACAGCCTCCCGGAGCTCACAGCAGCAAGCACATCACACTGCTGCTCTGTCCATTCTCCAAGGGTGGTCAGGCTCAGGTCCCACTGCTCTGGACCTTGCACTAGGTTCAGCAGAAGGAAGGGACCCCAATGGGGCTGCAGTGGACAGAGCTGCTCTCAGACCCTCAGCCTAACAGGCAGCCCACGCCCTGCTGTGGGCAGCACCACCGCCTCTCGCACTGCGAGGGTGGGACAGGCCATCTAAGGGGAAGAGCAGTGACCTATTGCCACAGCCCTTCCAATCCCACCAGCGTCAGAAGATGATGCGCTTCCCATCAGCCGGGTTCTGCTCCATGGGGCAGTAGGGACACTTCAGCCTGAGGAGAGGTCCAGAGACAAAGGCATGAGGCACGAAGGCCAGGGAACACAGAGAAAACGGCAGAGCTCTGGGGCACTGCAGGGAGCACAGCCACAGGGGGCCGACAGCAGCAGAAGTCTGCCCCTCCCGGCACAGTCCAGCCCTCAAGGCTCAGTCTAAGGAAGGCCTGGGGCTGGCCATAGGCAGGCAGCAGCACTGCTTGTGCACCCTACTTCCCAGCCCCAGAGATAACAAGCCCTGCTTATCAGCATGCACGGCACCCAGCCCGTTCAGGCTCACTGCTACCCGCAGCACCCAGCTGCAGCAGAGCAGGGGAGCTCGGGAAGGCGATCTGGCCCAGACTAGCACAAGGCCAGCCAGGAACCCTGGCGGTAAAGGGCACAGGCCAAGGGATCTTCAGAGCGCTCACGCTCCCATGGCACCGGGCTGCATCACACAAAGTGATGCCAGGCGAGGGCCAAGCCTGCAGGACATGGGCTGCAGGGCGGAGGTGGGGCAGGGTTCACGGCCTGAGCATGTCAAGAAACCAAACTTACTTCCCCCCATTGATGAGCTTGTTGAGTGCGTCCCGGGAGATGACGTGCCCGCAGATGAGTTTGATAGGCGGATTGGAGTCAGTCGTCTGCTGGCGAAGGATGGGGCAGGCGAACACTGAGTGGTACCAGCACTTCATGCCCAGCTCAATTTCAATCTGCCAAGAGAGCGCAGGGAGGTCAGCCCCACTGCCTTGCCCCGCCCCCCCGCCGCCCCTCGAGATGGCACTTACAGGCAGCTCATCCTTGTGGCTCCAGACACCCGTGCACTGTCTCTGCTCAATCACCGCCTTGATGTTCATCAGCACGGGCAGCGCCACACATCCAGACGCGAAGCTGCGTGAGAGGGAGAGGCCTTAACACTTGGTGGTGCTGCTAAGGGGGGACCCCGCAGGCCCTGGCCTGGGGCTTACCTGACACTGAGAGGGGATTCCACCGAGAGCCCCAGCAGGGCACAGGCGTCGCGGGTGAAGGTCTCGCAGATCTCTGTCCAGTGCCGGGCATCCAGCAGGTGGCAGTACGGGGAGTTCTCAATGCCCAGGGGCAGGTACACCAGGCTGCCCATCATGACCTGGATCTCTGAACAACACAACACCCTGGTTGGCCTCAAGAAGCAGCATGGCCACAGCCCCCCACCCTGTCCTGCCAACCAGCCAATGCCTCCAGTACGGGGCTAGTGATGGGGCCCCCTGTAGCCTGGGAACGGGGCTACCCAGCCGGGCAGTCCCGTGCCCCACGAGGGAGACCAGTGGCAGGGCCCCACCTGGCACAGTCTCACCTCGCTGGTGCAGGCGGGCAAAGGGCTGGAAGTGGCGAGCGTAGCTCAGGGCCTCCAGCTGCTTGTCAGGGCCGCCAGCCAGGAGCCGGATGAAGTGGAGACGATGCAGCTTGAATTCCAGGGAGCTGTTCAGCTCCAGCAGACGCTGCCTGTTTGAGATTGCCCAGCTGGATAGGAAAGAACAGGGGGCAGCTAAGTCCTGGCTGTCCTGGGGAGGTGGGCAGGACAGCCAGGAAGCTCTCACTGATGCCCAACCTGACAAGACGAGGATGGGGTTATTCCCGTTCCTGGAGACTGTTTTGTGTGAAATACCCCTGGCCGGGCTGGCCTAGAGGGCTCCTTTCCCTCCAGTGTCTATAATTCCAGGGACTGCCCAGGTAACACCAGAGTCAGTTGGGGTGAAAAAAGGAACATAAGTGGCTCATGGGCAAGAGGGTGTGTCAGGCCCTGCAGATGGCGCTGCCCCAGGAGGGCTGGTCAGGGGGTGTTAAGGAGCATTGTGCTTGTAGGCCTCATTCCGACGGGTGCAAGGAGCATGCTCTAGCAGGCAGGGTGAGTGAGATCATCACACGTTAGCTGGGGTGCACCGGGCTCTCCCTTGACCAGCCAAAGCACCCCATACCCCAACCCAGACTCGGTGCATGAGTCAAGCAGAAGGGGAGGGGCCACTTTCAGTAAGGATGGGGAGGCTGTGGGCGAGGAGGGGCACTGGATGCTCGGCACTCCCAGATGATTGGTTCTTACTCCAGAGCAGGACGCAGGTCCTGCTCGTGCAGCGCTTCCAGGATCCTGTTCAGCTCCAAGAACGGCTGCTTGAAGTCCAAGTCCACATTCAGGGTGGACTCCTGTGGAGAATGAGAGCCAGTGGTCACATCCCACCATCCTCTTGGGGAGGGCGGCATGCACCGGGGCGGAGGGGTGGTGCCAGGAGAGGCTCCCCAGCCAGAGATGGGCAAGGTTTCCTACCCTGCGTGATGGAGAGAGGCCCCCCACCTTGGAGCACAGAGCACATGCAGGAGAGCAGCAGACTTGGCAGCTGCAATTCGGTCCCGGCAGCTGCAATTCGGTCCCTGCAGAGCTGGGCAGGGCCTCAGACCAACTGGCCTGGATCAGCTAGAGGTGCTGGCCTGGAGCAAACCTTGCCAGTGGCTAATGCTGAGTAAGGCCCACTCACCAGAGAGCAGGCCACAGCACTCCTGGTTCCCCCTGCCCCAGGGAGGCCACAACCCTCCCTCACACAATGCTGCTGTGTGGCAAGCTAGCACCAGTCTCATGACCGGCAGCCCTGGTACCTGGGACAGCTCCTCCGCCACACTCAGCATGCCCTGCTGGTACAAGTGCTCCACCATCGCCATCTGCAGAATCTGCTGCTGCTTCTCCCGCGACTCCCAGACCGAATCCGAGACCACGCTGCAGAGCTCGGCATCGAAGTTCTGGGAGATGAATGAGAGGAGTCAGTGGTGCCCCTGAGAATGAGGGGACGGCCCCCCATCTATCACCTCCCGGCCTGATCACATGTTCACAAACAACCCCCCTGCAGCTGCCTGCAAAGCCACCCCACAACAGCACCCTCCCACCCAAACCATTGCGGCCCCTGCATGGAGCTGCATTCAATTGGCTGGCTGGATCACAGCCTCAGAGCCACAACAGCGCATTTCTGGGTGGGTGGCGGCACAGCAGTAGGAGGTCATGACACTCTGTACCTCAAAGCAGCACCCTGGACCCCCCCATATTCACCCCATCATATAATTATGATCTATTTCATACAGCACATGCCATGTAAGGAATCATATGAAAGGTCATGATCTGCAGAAACCCATTGTTCTGTCCAAATATGTATGCCATTTGTGTGTATGAAGTTGTGAGATTTTGCTGTATGGTTGTTACTAGTTCTCTAGTGACAACAGAGGAGGTGATCCCCACCCAGGAGGGTGTTAAGTGACCATTAAACAGCAGGGGAGTTGTAAACAAGGGATTTACAATACGAGTACAGTAAGAGGGCTGCACAAGAATCACACAATGGGGGATTGCTCAACTCCATGACTCAGCAAAGCCCACCTGGGCTAATGTTTTCCAGGCACAGGGACTGAGGATATAAAATAGGGGACAGCGGCATCATGCCTTGGCCTTTCGCCTCCCCCACCTACGCTGGAAGCAACAAGAACACTGGGAAGACAAAGACTTGAACTGAGGAGACTGGTCCCAGGCTTAAAGGGGAAGCCTGTGTGTTAAGGACTATAACCTATTTGCAACATCCAGTGGGGTGAGAAAAACTGCTTCATCCCAATACTGCCTAATGTAATAAGGTTTAAGATTTAGACTGCACACTTATCTTTTATTTCCTTTGGTAACTATCTCTGATCTTTTGTGGCTACCACTTCTAATCACTTAAAATCTCTCTGTAGTTAATAAATCTGTTTTATATTTTACCTAAAACAGTGTGTTTCAATTGAAGTGCTTGGTAAATCTCAGCTCATTTTACAAAGGCTAGTGTCTGTCCTCTCCACATCGAGGGAGGGCGGACTGGGTAATAAACGTACACTGGTCAGGCTTCTGACCAGGGCAAGACGGAACAGCTCTGGGGTGCAAGGTTGGGGTCTTGGAAGATTTGCTGGTGCCTTTCTCCATGTGATTCATGAGTGTCTCTGGGAGTATTTAGCTGGGGGTGGGCTCCACATGCTGCTGTACTGAGTGATAACAGCGCCTGGAGGGGTTTGCTGCTTTTCACTAGCAAAGCATTGTGAGAGACAGCCCAGTTTGGAGCTGTCTCTCGCAACCCCAGTTCCAAGCTGTACCCCGGGGAGCCCGTCACAGAGGTGGAATGTGAGCTCCTTAGGGCCAAGAACACGTCAGCACAGGAGGGCCCCGATCCTGACT